ACGGATCGTGTTCAAATCAATAGGCACGCAATGACTCTAAATAATAATGATCACGCCACCAAACACACATTCAGACTAAAGGAACCAGCCTGTTTGGAAAATGAGAGAAGTAGAAAGTACAGGTATTTGTGTTCAACATGTAAGAAGTAGAAAGTACAGGTATTTGAGTTCAACATGTAAGAAGTAGAAAGTACAGGTATTTGTTAGAAGTAGAAAGTACAGGTATTTGTGTTCAACATGTAAGAAGTAGAAAGTACAGGTATTTGAGTTCAACATGTAAGAAGTAGAAAGTACAGGTATTTGTGTTCAACATGTAAGAAGTAGAAAGTACAGGTATTTGAGTTCAACATGTAAGAAGTAGAAGTAAAAGTAATAAGTAGTGGAGTAAAGTACTGATACCAGAAACATGTACTTAAGTGCAGTAATGCAGTATTTGTACTCCACTACTTCCCACCTCTGCTGCTATGGTGCGTCTTTAGAGCTTTGTTACTTGTAATATTTACAAGTTAGAAAGTTAGAACATTGGTGCAGGTCAGGGTGAAGAAATACACAACATACATAAAGGAATTGATGGAAAGTAGCCTACAGGAAAGGAGGAGGATCTCCTCATCAGTGTCTCTCTCTCCGAAGCTCCTTCTCCCGGATACAGGAAGTCTCTGCTGCTCTCCTTCATCGTAGCTAACACCTGACCCTCTAAACAACATGCAAAGACAAACAGTAAACATACACACAACCCAAGTTAGAGAAGCAGTTTTTGCCGAGTAATGAATACATACAGTTGGGACTGAAAACTCCCATATGGCGTCATCAGAAAGCATACCTGGAGGCACCAACTGAATCAGCTCAAAAGATGTTGTGTCAGCTAAGAGGAAGGAAAGCACAAACAGACTGTAAGCTAATGATCAGTATCACAGCTAATGGCCTATAAGCTTGCATAGCAGAGTATTCAGGACTAAGAGATGAGGAGGCAAATCCCAGATGGCCGTTTACCTTCCAGGAGGTCAGCTACATCAGCAGGGTCAACAACGCCGGGGAAAGTCTGGTAGAACAGAGTAAGGACAAAGAAATCAATAATGATAACAAGATGAGGCAGACAGCTCCAACTTTCTGGGGCAAAGTAGCCTTTCTATCAGGACTTAGGGCAGTAATTGGAGGCAAGTTTTAATGCTAACGTTTAAAAAATAAGACAATAAAAGGCTGCAGTGCATGCAAAAAGGAAAAGACACAAACAGAATGAAAAAGCTAGGATGGTAATTTACTGACTCTTTAGTGAATAAAATGATAGGGTTGACTATTGGAGCACTCACAAAACAGTTACACAGTATTGTGGACAATGACTAAGTGCGTAATGGAAAATAACAGTCAAGTAAGTTCAGAAAAACACACATTAATGCAGCCTGCAAACTTATGAATACATTAAATCCGAAGAAAGAAAAGTGGCACAAAAACAACAATATCCAACATTTAAGACGATCTCTTGTCTTACATCACAATATCGATATAGCACTAGGGCTGCTCAATTAATCGTATTTTAATCGCGATTACGATTAAGGCTTGCAACGATTACGAACAACTATATTATTAGCCCTCCATTAAAACGCGATTCTGCAATCGCAGAATTTACCGCATAATCAGCAAAATGGCGCATATTTATCAAAAGGCCGCATAATCCCGCATTTTTCACACAAATTGAGAAGAAAAAGAACCGCTTGACGTGACGTCATCAGGCGCATCACAGAATGTAAACAAGTTCAACATGTAAGAAGTAGAAAGTACAGGTATTTGTGTTCAACATGTAAGAAGT